TCCACAGATTTCACATTTGGGGACTGTGTCCCCTCAATCTGTTCCTTCAGTGATAAACTTTGTAGACGTGGCTCTGGTTTTGTCTTTTCAGGATCTACCTCTCCTGCAGATGACGGCTGTATTACATTTACAGAGTTCTCCTTTTGCAACTGTGATTGTGTATCCATTTGCCTAGACTTTACTTTCTGGACCTGTGGCCTTGGGATCACATCTTTAATATGTGGTTTGGGTCCTGTAGTTAGTCCTGCAGGTTCCACAACTTGTACAGGTGGTTTGGTGATTACTTCTGCAGACTTCATATTCTGGGCAAAGGACTCTGATTTCTCACCTTGCACTCCTGGTTCTAGACTAAACTCTAGAGATCTCACTTCTGAATATAGGTCTATGATGGTTCCCTGGGTATCATCAACTTTAGAGAATGTCAATCTGAAGGTCTCTGTGTCTTCATCTTCTGGTTTCAGAGTTCTTTCCAATGGGTTAGTAACTTCTAAACCTGGTTCTAGAGTCAACTGAACAAACTTCACATCTGGGGGCTGTGGCTCTGGGGCCATCACTCCTGAGGTCATTGTTTGCACTTCTGAATCTAGTAGCAAATCCAGAGTATCTTTAGTTGCACTTCCTGATTCTGGAGTCTCTTCCATCTCTTTTACAACTTGGGTCCCAGGTTCAAGAGTATCTTGGAGTGGTGGTGAGTTCATCTCCACAGATTCTGAGGTCTGGCTCAATGGTGCACTGGACTCATCCCTAATGATGATTGTGGCAACAGAGCAGATTCTTCCACCTGCCGGCAAGGTTCAGAGGTCACCCTTGTTTCTGAGACTGGATGCTGTAGGGTCAGTCCTTCAGATTCTAGGAAATGATAACTTGGTTTGGGGGTTGCTTCTAAAGATTTTGTTGCATAAAAGTGTGTGCTTGGGATCAGTTCATCAACTTCCATACTCTCCACCAGTGCCTCACAAAGTAGACTCCTACCTTCTACAAATGGAGTCTTTGTATCCTCAAGCAGTGGTACAGAGGCTATCTTATCAGAGCCAGTGCTTTGTGAACATGGTTCTGGGGCCAAGTTCACAGATTTTATATCTCCAAGTGATGGTCTTGGAGTCAACTCCACCATTTTTATATCTCCTTGTAACTCTTGTGATAGAGCTGAAAGAGCTTCTTCCATACCTTGAGACTGAGAATCGGAAATCAAATGTACTGATACATTACTGTGCTTCTGTGGACATGGGGCCAGCTCAGCAGACTTTTTGTTTTGGAGTCATGATTCAGTTGTCAGTTGGCCAGATTTCACATCTTGAAACTGAGACTCAGGGGCTGATGGCACAGATGTCTCACTTTGCAGTTGTGGTATGGGGGTTAATTCCTCATATTGCATATTCTGCTGATTCTGTTCTGGAGCCAAATCTATACATACCACTGTTGAAGTTGGTGATCCATATTTTTCCATTTCTGTGACTAAATCTGTGGTTATGTCCACAGATTTCACACTTTGCAATCTTGGATCTAGGATTAGGTGCTCAGATTTTACATTCTGTAGTTCTGGGGGTAAGTCCATTGAATCCCTAACCTTAGGCTGTGGGATTGTACCCCCCCCCCCCAAATATTCCATTTCCTGAAGCAGTGGTATGACTGGCCCTACTTCAGCTTCTGGAGCTTGATGCTTTTGGCTCCTTCCTATAGGTACTGCACCTTGATCTGGTTGTGCTGGGATTGTTCTCGTGGATTCCATTCTTTGATGATGTCACTGTGGTGTCTCCATAGGATCCTTCACTTGTGGCCAGTTCAACCCCATAGTTTCTGTCATGTTGTGACTTTGCCTTGGGCTCACCTCCGAACAGTTTAAGTCTTGGTGTCATGGGGTGAACTCTGAAGGGTCTGTGACCTGATGAGACAGTCCTGGAGTCAGTGACACACACTCTGTGCCTCGAGATTGTGGCATAGTCCCCACGGAGACTCCAACTTGACCCTGTAACCCAGAAGGCAATTCCAGAGCCTCTTTGAATTGAGGTTCTACAATTTGTAGTGGTGTGATCATTCCTGTGGGAGATGCCTGGACTAGTGGGGTCACCTTTAGAACATGCAGGGACTGACCTGACGGTAGCAGGTCATCAGTCATTCCTGGTGGTTCCAGGACTTTAGATGGTGGCTGTGGAGGTACGCTTCTAGATTCTACAGTTCCTACTGGGACAGCAGTAGTCGGAACATCTGGTTGAGCTAGTGCTGTGGATATCGTTCTATATAAATAAAACACTGATGGCCAGTGACCAGACAGGAAGTGTAGGCGGGACAAGGAGAGAGGAGAATTGTGGAAACA